ATTACCACAACCTAGAATTACATAAGAAGGAAGCCTCAGATTATTTAGATCCTATTGGATTGTGGGCATGTCTGTAGGGAATTGTCTTGATTGTGACCCAGCCCACTGTTGGTAGGAACATTCCCTAAGCAGGAAGCCCTGGGTTGTATAAGAGTGGAGGAGGCTGGCTGGGCAGTAACTGAGCAAGACCTCACCCATGATTTACTTCTCTCTCTGCGCTTGACTGTAGGTATGATGTCTAGTTTCTTGAGTTCCTGCCCAGACTTCCTCTCAATGATGGACTGTGACCTGGAATTTGTAAACCAAACAAATGTCCCCCCCCCCACCCTTGCTTATCCTGCTTTTGGTCAGGATATTTTATTAGGTCAAAAGAAATGAAAGTAGACAAACTCACACCAGAGTTATTAGGGGAGCTTCAAAAACAGATGTCCATGTTTCAACCCAAAGACTCCACAGTTTTTATAAGCACCTTCAGTGATCAGGAACAAAGTCAGATGTGTGTGGGGGAATGTTTCAGCATTTACACACCTGCTTTATTTGGTCCTCTTCTCTATTCTGCAGGAGATAGGGAGTGGGGAAAGAGGGGGTTGGATGTACCCAAGAAAATATAGTTGTTTTCATTTCATGGAAAGAAGAGTGGGGATAAACTTGGTCTAACTCTAGAAACAGCCTGAACACACAGAGAACAAGCTGGAGTCTCCATGAGCCTCTGACTTGCTGTTGAGCTATAGGAGTTGCAGGACTGTAAATGCTCACGAGGTCAGAAGCCTGGGCCACAGAGTCCTCATAGATCCAAAATGGATTATGTGTAGCATTTCATGGGTGCTACATGCATTATTGCCGGCTCAGGACAGACAATGCCTCTGTGACAGTTTTCCCTGTTGAACACAGAACCCGGAATAGTTGAAGCTAGAGCAAGGGATGAGACCTTTTATCTACCTTCCTCACCATTTCTACCAACAAAAACCCAGTCTAATCCTAAATTCCACAGGCTACTTGGGTACAGTTCAGGTAGGTGTGGAGAGTCATGATCTCTTCTCTTTCTTCTGCCTAGGTGGCAGCAATCATTCCCTCGACTTTAATATTTATGGGTTAAAAGTTCAGTTTTTATATTTCCACTGTAGCACTCATTCTTCTTGAACTCCTGACTTAGACAGGAGCCAAAGAAAGCATGAAAGGCCTGCTCATCTGCACACCAGCAGGTACAGGTGAAACATTTTTGAGTGCAGTATTTTTGAGAGCAGAATCAGGATGTTTTGATTTAGAGTTTTACTATGTAGTCCAGGTCTTAAATTCACGATTCTCTTGACTCACCTTGGTGAGTCCTGGAATTACAGGCATGTGTTTTTATGCCTGTCTGAGAACAGGGATCTTAATATATTTCCAGATTACTTAACAGTCCGGCTTGGTATCTGGACTATAGCAAATGCTAGGTAAAAATGCTCATTTCTTCCTTCGTTCCTTTCTTTTTTTTTAAAAAAAAAGATTTATTATTGTTATTATTATTAGTTTATTATTTATTTATTTGTGTATTTGAGTGCTCTATTCCCATGTATGCCTGCATGACAGAAGAGGACATCAGATCCCATTATAGATGGTTGGAGCCACCATGTGCTTACTGGGAACTGAACCCAGGAAGAGCAGCCAGTGCTCTTATCCACCAAGTCACCTCACAGAATAGTTTGCTGTTCTTTTTTCCCCCACCTTTTGGTTTTTCAAGACAGAGTTTCTTTGTGTAGCCCTGGCTGTCCTGGAATTCTCTGTAAATCCTCCTGCCTCTGCCTCCCAAGTGCTGGGATTAAAGGCGTGGGCCACCACTGCCTGGCTAATTTCATATAATACATTTCCTTGCATGTAAATGCAATTATGCAATTGTTTTCTTGCATTTCCAGAGCATCTTTTATACTTCTGGGTGCCCTATCCTTTGTCCCTCTCAGGATGATGGGCTGTGGTAGTTTATTACACTGGTGGCTTCCAGTGAACTATGCCTGTCATTTATACCCTTGTTACCTCTTCCTTTGGAACTCAGTATGTACCTGTGATTTGGTTTAATTAGTATAATGTGGTGGAAGGTCTCTGGCCAGTTTCCCAGTTTCAGCTGTTCTTTCTCTCTTTCTTTCTCTCTCTCCCTTCCTTCCTTCCTTCCTTCCTTCCTTCCTTCCTTCCTTCCTTCCTTCCTTCCTTCCTTCCTTCCTTTCTTTCTTTCTTTCTTTCTTTCTTTCTTTCTTTCTTTCTTTCTTTCTTTCTTTCTCTCGACAAGCTTTCATGTAACCCATGCTGGCCTAGAACTTGTTATGCAGCCGAGGATAACCTTAAACTTCTGATCATCCTTCCTCTACCTCCTAAATGTTGGGATTGCAATTGTGTGCTGCCATGCCTGGTTTACATGGCTCTAGGGGTTGGACTCAGGGCCACTGAGCATGCTAGGCAAAGCATTTTAACAACCCAGCTACATCCCAGCCCCTGTGGTTTACAGACTTATCTGGATATCCCTTTGCCTTGGTGTGTCTTCCTCAGTGGCCAACCTTCAGCATAGGAACTGAACCTTATCAGTATTTCCCAGCCAGAATCTACAGACATGTCAGTTAGCAGGGGAGGGTAAAAGAGGAAGCTTTTTATTGGCAGGATGTTTGAACAGAGATGAGGACATTGAAGGCAGTAGTCATGCTTTCCCAAGGTTCTTTCTTAAAATACAGTGTGTTTGGCTTCAGGGCTTCTGACTCACTCTTAGGCCAGGCATTCCATCTCTAGGCTAGAACATTCCCAAGAGTACCTGGGGAGACCAGCTCATTTTCCACCTATAGTAGCTACAAAAACATCTGTTCTAGTTCGCTGGAAAGTAAAAACAATGAAGTGTCAACCCATCATCTCTTTTGCTGAAGGACACATTCCTGTTGGTTGATTCACAGCCTCCCCTAAGGGTTCACTCAGGACTGCCTATGTGTCTGTGGAGCTGTGAATTGATTTTGATGATAATTTGAAGAGCCTCTTACATCCTAGTTTATTTAACCTTCTTACATGAATAGCAAGACTTCTCTGTGGGGAATTGTGACTACTGACTCATAAGGAAGCATTGAGCCCTGGAAACAGCAGGCAAAAAATAGGCTCTTAAAGCAAGCTCACTCCCTTTGCTCAGGTCACAAGCATTATAGAAAACAGCCTACGTGTGGGGTTGCCAGACTGGGTTCACCTCACAGTCCTGTAAGGTTCTTTGCGAGTCAAGACAGTGACCTTGTCACCTCAAGGCTCCAGCTTCTTCTTCCGATAAAATGGGCATGATGATAGTGCCCATCCTGCCAGCTACATGGCGTTCTTAAGAGGTCAGACTAGAGTAATGGAGTGGGAAGACTCATTCAAAAGCATGTGCTGCTTAAGCCCATTCCTAGTATCACCACCAAAACACGAAGCTACACATCCTAGAGTTCTTTCCATGACAGAGAACTCATATCCAGAATTCAGTGTATTGTGGCACTTCCTTTGTGCCCACAATGGCCCTTGTTGGCATTTCACCCATTGATTCTCCTTTGGACGTACAGAAACAAGTCCAGTTCTCTTCTGGAAGAATAGTTTTCAGATGTCTAGAACTAGTCCTGCTCTCTGACATATTGAGAGGAGTCTCTGAGCCTTCTCACAGCCAAATCAAATATTTCCTTCCTTGCACTGTCATGGCTGTTGTTCTCTAAAGGAACCTTAAGTAATTAGTGGCCCTCAGCATATTTTATCTGGACTTGAAGGTGGGAGAAGAATGAAGTGGCACTCACCTCCGCTGTTCTGGAAGTTGTGCTTCTGTTAATGCACCAATTTGTGAATTAGCTTCTTTGTTGACCACATCCCATTGGTGCATTTCCTCTGTAATCTCTGCTGTAAACATGTGGCGTTCAGAGCATCACTTCCCTTCACCCATTTTGTTCTACCTGGTACCCAATGCAATGACTGTCAAAGTTCACGAGGTCTTGTGGTCTACTGATCCTATAACTTTCCTCATCCCTCACCTATTTCCTGCTTCTCCATGTCCTTATTTTTCTTCTTCCTCAACCTGGACTTTTGGGACACCATTGTGATCATTCCCTTGAATAAATTCTCAGCTTTCTTCTTGCCTGAAAAAAAAAAAAAAATCCCAAGCCTGATGCATCTATCTCATCAGCTCTTTTCGCCTGCCCTATTCTGCCTCTACTCTCTTACCATGGTGTGTTGTGTTTTAAGGCCTAAGCTTCTCCAGGTTTGCATTAATCCCTGATTCTTTAGGTTACTAAAACTTCTGCTCCCACACTCTGCCCCATTATTAATTTTCTCTTTTCTGCACCATCCTTCTCATCTCATAGATAATTTTAATTGTTTTTCAAGGGAGAACAAAATATGTTTTTTTTTGCCCATAGGTTCACTGAACTGCAGAAGCTCTGGCTTGGCCAGTGTGTCGAGGGCATTACTGGAACTCCCTCCTGTCGCATGCCAGCAGGTGTGGGCGGCCATGTTGGCTGGCCGAATGAGAAAGAGTGAAGTGGGGAGCTGCCAGCACCATGCTGTCCAGTGAAAGCATAAGCCCTCATAAATCTAGCTTGGATCTGGGGAGTCTGCTTCCCTGGTCTATTAATATTCCTCTAACCCCACCTAATGGGACTGAGAGTGTGTGTGAAGACAACTATGGTGAGCTGCTTCTCAAAGCCATTTCATCAGGGAGGGTAACATCTTTTCTTCACAAAAGCAGTGTCGGTATTCATGTAAACTACTCTGAACAGCTCAGACGAAAGGGGTTTCCTTCTTGGAACAACAGATACTTAGCTATCTCCATATCACAGGGCCTTCCTGAGGGTTTTCCTGGAGAGGAGCCCAGGAAAGTGTGGCTTCCATACTTTCAAGTGCATGAGTTAAGTTGAACATTTCAGACCATGCCCAAAGCACAATGTTTATAGCATCTTTTATAATTCTTCCAAAGCCAGGGTTGACTTGGCCATGGCATTTCTTAGTTGCTCTCTCCAAGAGGGACAGCATGGTCCACTTACTTATCTGTCACAGCCTGCATGAATTCATCCAGGAGGTCATCATACTCCTTCCCACGGACACGTTGGTGTTTCAGGCCAATGTACAGAGGATCTCTGAGAAGTTCCTGGAATAAAGAACATCCACTTACTAAACCAGCTCCGCACTTCCTGCTTTATTATTGTTTTCTGTAAAGCAAGTGTCCAGTGTTAATACAAAGGACTGGAGGTCAGAGGAGAGAAGAAAGCAGGAAGCTGCTTTGGTTCCCTACCTTTACCTTGGGTTAATACCTGGAAGGGTCTGGATGTTAAGTTCCTGTCCTGAGGGTGATTCCCACGTAATCCCATCTTTAGGAATGACAACGCTTTGAGGTAGATATGCCTCCATATCTCCATAACCAGAGTCTTTCAAGCCCTGGTTATAAGCTCTCAGCTTATTTCAGGATTTCTCAATAGTGTCACTATTGACATATTGGCTTGAATTGAGAGCTGACCTGCACATTATAGTATATTTATCAGCAACTCCAAATCCATCAGAATCCAGCAACACCTCCAGTTGTGACCATAAAAAAGTCTTCAAACATTGCTTGCTCCAGGTATTCCTAAAAACAGAAGTGCTCCTGGTTGATAATCCCTGAAGCTGACTATAGGTAGCATCTGCCCTGGTGAAGAGGGTCTCATACAAAGATCTCACCCCCAAAAGAACTTAAAAAGCATCAATTAATATTGATTTAAGTAAAATATTACCTTCCATGTTCCTCACACATTGCTAGATCTTGGGAATATGAAGGTAGAATTATACAACTAGAAAAACCATGCTTGCCTTAACTCCATTGCCTCTTGCGTTATAACACTTTCTGTCACAATACCCACACACGTATTGGGTTGTGTTTGCATTGGTCTGCCTAGCTTCTCCTGTTGGGTCTCCTTCTTCATTTCCCTGGGTCAGTAGACTACTTCATGCATAACACATTTATTTGTTAATTTTTTTTTCCATTTTACTAGCCATAGAAGCTTCATCATATAAGAGCAGAAAATGTCTGTTAATTGGCAAATCTAGACAAATATCAAGATATGTGGTGTGAAAGAAAGCCAACCGGCAAAGACTACAAGCTGCCTGATTTCTTCTATATAGCATTCTTGAAATGACAAAACTATAGAGATAGAGAATGATCATCAGAAGTTAGGCAGAGGAAGAGAGTGTGTGAATATGGCTATAAGAGGGTAGTATGAGATATCCCTATATGAAACTTTCCCGTAGATTGGCTGCCTCAGTGGTACAGGAATCTACAGAAGACATACAATTGAAAGTAAATAAACATACATGTACATGCACACATATGAATGTATATAAAACTGGTGAAATGTGAATAAGATCCATAGATTGTCAAGGTCAGTTTCCTGCTAGTATACAAGCTGCTACCACTGAAGAAAACTGGGTAGTTGGCACAGGGGCATGTGGTGGTTTGAAAAAGAAATGTCCCATACAGAACCATGTATTTGAACACTTGTTCCCAGTTGGTGGTGACTTTGGGGGTTGTGGAACCTTTAGAAGGTGAAACCTTGCTGGAGGAAGCACATCACTGGAGTTGGGATTTGAGGGTTTATAACCTTGTTCTCTTCCCCTTTCTCTTCCCATGTTTCCTGTGTGCAGATAAAACGTCATCAGCCAACCTTCTGTTCCTGCCGCCATGCCATGTCATGCCATCCCTATCATTATGGACTGTAGCCTTCTGGAACAAGTTTCTTTTGCTCTTTGTATTTTACCACAGCAACAAAAAGTAATAAATACATGGATCACGTCGTGTTTTCTCTAAGAACTGCATGGGAATCCAGAATATTTTAAAATAACGATTAAGAATAAACTGTGTCAAGATACGTGCAACCCACATAATAAAAAGTCATGTATTTATTGATAGTTGACATTCCTGAGTGCAGCCCAGAGCATTGCAATGATGAACAAGAATGACTGATCCTTTGAAGGTGCTCACGGTCTCCTGAGGGTGTGGAGGAGTAAACTAACCATCACGGGGAAGGATGGCACTGCCTTGGGACATAGTGTCACACGTGAGCACACAGAGTGGGGAAGCAACTCTGCTTGAACGGTGAGTGTATTTTGGGGGAAATGGTCAAGCCTGAAATAATGGTCTGATTCTAACAGGTTAGCTGCGTCTCCAGGTGGAGTGAGCGCAAAGGAAGGTTGGAGGCTGGAGGCAGAGGGAGGGGAAGGTGGCTGATTGTCTGTTTGGGAGACAGAGAATAACTCCCTGCTACAGCCTCTGTTCCTTGCCAGGGGAGTTTAGTAATAGCTGGCAAGGTACAGGAAGTCTGGGCTTTTGGGCTTTGGAATTGGACGGACCTGAGTTTGAATTCACACCCTGTCACTTAAGACTTTGGGCAAGAAATATAACTTTTCTCAGTTTTGTTTTTTCCCTCCCTGTTGAAAAGGAATAATAATGATTCCTGTGACATAATGTGATTTCTCGAGGAAAAGTCCGTTCCTTCTTCGTTTACATCTCCCCAGAGACTGCGCAGTGTCAGCACACAGCAAATCTGTGGAATGTGTTAGCTGATACCAGCTGCCAGGGTGTTACTAATGGCTAAGAAAGATGTCAGAGTTAAAAAAAAAATAGGTCTTGGGAATCACTCACTTCAACTTCCTCCCAGTGGATTTCTGAGTCTTATAAAGGTGAAGTGAGCTGTCTTAGGTCACCAAACCCACTGGTTAGAGGGGAAGGAGAAATCATCATTTAGAACAGGAGATAGACTGAGCTTATTCATTCCCAAGCCCTAGTGTGCAAAGGTACACTGGTACCTGAGTAGTATTTGATGGCTAAATCTTTCCCTCTTTGTTAGATAGTTACCAAGTTCCCATCAGAACTGAGTAAATTAGCGATTAGGATTGTAGGCGAAAGAATTTCCCCAAAGAAGGCAAACAGGAACATCTTCTGCGGTGGGAGGTGGAGGGTTGAATTCATCCTCTGGGGCTGTTTGCCTAGCTCTGCCTTCCTAAGGACTTCCTTAGGGACACAAATGTCATGGAGAACAAATAGTTTTTTTTTTTCTTCTCTTCTTTGCTGGACATATCACAGATACGTTTGAAAAAATATTTACCTTGAATAGCAACAGGCAAGCTAAGAGGTCACGCAAAGCACCTGTGTGTCCAGGAGGTTATGGCATGGGGTCCACTCCGTGGCCGTAACGCCTTTCCCTTCAGTGTTGTTATGTCTACCGTTAACTTCTTGGAGAGTTAGATTAAGCCCCGGAGAAAGCTGCGAAGATTCTGGGGGTAGCATCCTCAACTCATTTGTGCAGAGAGTGAGCTGTCTGGTTGTTCCACATGGTTAAGACACATTCTAGCTACGGAGACAATAAACTTGTGAAATAGAAGAAACCGAAAATCCCAGCACAGCAGCTGACTGTGTTCATCCCCACCGACCTTCAAAGCCAAGGTTTCTGAACCTGCTGTCAGTTTTCATCTGGGTCTGTCTGCAGATGCTGCAATTCTGATCAGCCACATGGGCTCCAGAGGGTCACTTAGCATCTCCCTCAGGAGCTTCTGAGGGAGCTTCAGGATTTGCAGTGGGAGAAGACTCTCAGGGCTCAGGAGGGCAACCAGAGAGCTGAGACTCTAAAGAGCCTCACTACAGAATGCCAAGTGCACAGGGTTTTGGAACTAATTCTTGGGGAGGCCATTTATGCTATGGGCCTCTTTTCCTATGAAGAAGGAAGTGGTGTGGGATACTGTTTCTGGTCTGCTCTGCTTGGACAAAATGACCATCTTGTGCTTCGTCTCATCCACACACAGCCGTGACTGAGGGACTCCTCTCTCCTGAGGCCTTGGAACCAAGCCCTGGAGAGGAGGGGCATCCCTTTTCTATGGGATCGCTGCTCTGTTTATTTTTCCAAATGTCCTTGGTGTTGACAGGTAAAGGTGACTCAGGCTCAGGGATGTAGACAGCAGATGTTTTCCTTCAACAGGAAGTTCAGAGGGATGTTCTGACACTGATTAAATATGCTGTTGCCTCAGGAGGTTTTATTTCTATTTATTTATTTATTTATTTATTTATTTATTTATTTATTTATTTATTATTTATTTATTTATTTATTTATTTATTTATTTATTTATTTAAAACACACACACACTGATGGTTTGCTTATTTGGACGTGAAAATACCTCATGACAGCGTTATCCTTGCCTTGTGATAGGCAAGGAAGTGTTAAGGCCACACTTTCCTCTCCTACAGCCCAGAATTTCTTTCAGGAAAAAAAAAAAACCAAACACATCTATTTTATTTTATTTTATTTTGGAGAATTATATATATCAGTATTGTATTCACATCATTTCAACCCCACAGTCTCCCACCTCCATACCCACATTTCTCTCAACTCTCAGCTTCATGAGATCTTCTTTAATTATACATATATGTATACATGTACATATACATACACACACATGCATGCATGCCCGTTTGTGTATGTGCACAGGCAAACGCAGACACACATCCACACACACCCACACACATTCATTTTCTCCAGAGTCCTGGGATTTGTGCTTTTATGTATATGTACTTAGGGCTGACCACTTGGAACTGGATAACCTACCAGAGGGTTTGTTCCTAGAGAAGACTGATTCTCGCTCTTCCGGCAGCCCTTAATTGCCTGCAGTTCTAAGGGTGGGGCCTTTGGAAATTACCCCGACCCACATCGGCATCTTAACTGGCATTGTCACTGTGCAAATATTACAAAAGAATGCATTTTTTGACAAAGAAGTGTACTATGGGAAATGACATAGAAAAATTAATTTGAAAGGGGATAAATCATGTCTCCATGGTTCACTTGGCACCACTGGATTCTCATGCTTGAAATAAAACACTCAGGGGAGAAGCAGATACTTTGAATAGATGTAATACACGACTCATTAAAATGATTCATTACGTGACAGTGCTGAAACACTTACAACCAGACTACCCCACCCAGGCCTGGCTCATTTATCTCCCTCTTGCCTAGCAGAATGCCTGACACCTACTAAACACTCAATAAACTTTGATTAAATAAGTAAAGAGAGTGTGTTCACAAATAACCTTAACTGAAAAAAAAAAAAAAACAAGAGCAAAATTATAGGTGCTATGATTACAGCTAATACATACATCTATATGTTCGTGTGTCATAGATAAATACTGAAAAGGGGCACAAATGTAGTGATGGGGGAGAAATGCCATTTCTTTTAAGAATTTGAATAATATTTTAAAGTTATGTTAGTAATAAAAGTTAAGAGATGATGCCTGTAAAACAACAGAACGCTGGCACGGGTGTGCTATGACAGAGGCTCTTGGCTCTGATTAGAATCTGTTTGAGTCCATCAAAACCCTGAGCCTAAGTTTCTCAAAGGGGAACTTCTCAGAAGGCTGTGACAGAGGCTGTCTTCTGTGCTACTATGAAGTTCAAACTAGGTGCAAGGCCCTGGTTAATGATGGCCACTTGTTTTTGGAAATTCTTCCTGATGGGTTTGTTAAAGATTGAGGTCAGCCTTGAGCGCCATTCTCATTGGTGGGTGCTGGATCTTCAGCAAAGGGTCTCTGTGCACCTGATAGAGGTAACCAGCACCTCTGGGATACAGTAGCTGGAACAGGCTGTCCCTGCTCCAGCTCAGGACCAGCTTCTAAGGCAGGAACAGGGTGATGGTCTCAATTAAATCTAATTGTGACACAGCGGAGAGTGCTGGAAGAATGACTGAAGTAAGGTTTGTTGTGCTCATCTACAGAGGAGATGATACACTCTTTGAGGCTGAGAACAGCTTCTGTAGTTGTTTGGTATAAACTCCAATATCTGGCTGGGGAAAATGAACTCAGTTTAGAGCAAAACTTGAGGTCTAGCCTTATTGAGCAGCTGTAAGGCTTGTGGCACCACCCAGTCCCCTGTCTCATGCCAGTCAGGAGGCTCAGCAAGAAGAGATTTTAGAGAGGGCAGCATTGCTCTTAGGGGATCAGGTCTAAAGAGGGACAGTGACTCACCTAGCTTATTGGTGGTACTGGGGACAAGGCCTCTGCTTCTTCATCCAGGTCCTTCCCCACTTCGACCCTCCACTGCCTACCCCTTGTCCCCATGATTTCCTGGCTCTCAGGGAAGGTCTCCCTGAGGCTCCTTCAATTCAGGAAGGAGCATCTACGGGTGGAATCTGAGGAAGCTGCATTTCTTTGCTCCCTCACAATGCTCGTTCTTTTTTAGAAACCCAGATTATAGTGTCTAAAGAAGAGGAAATCGGTTTTCTTTAAATAAATCATTGTGGAATACAAACAGCTGTAACCTTGCTGGCAGCATGAATCAAGAATATGAACAACAGAGGCCATGGAGACACCTCAGTGGGTAAAGGGATTCAAAAGCTCGAGGATCCAAGTTGAGTCCCCAGCAAGCATATAAAAAGCAGCTGGGCGTGGCAGGTCACACCTGCAATCCCAGCACTGGGGGAGCACACTGGCAGATCCCTGGAGCTCACTAGCCAGCCCACCCACCAGAGTCACTGAACCCCAGATCCCAGTACGAGGCTGTCTCAAGCAGCAGAGTGGACGGTGCTGGAGGAGGGCCAGCCCTAACGGTTTTTCTCTGGCCTCCTCATACTGCTACCCCAACGTGTATGTACACACACCCATCCCGTGAATCTAGACAATTAGCACCAATATTTCTGCCTCTAGGAATTTGTCCTCCAGAAACATTAGAGATGAGAACAATGACTGAATTGCAAAATGGGTACCAGAGCACAGCTGATCTCTGCAAGAAGTCCGGAAACACCTGAATATACAGCTGTGCAGACTTGCGTCTGTGAACAACGTGCTGCCACTAAATGTGGCAGAGTGGAGTGATGATTACAGACCCGAGAGGAAACTCATGACTTATGTCAAACTTCAAAAGTCAGGCTAAAGAACCATAAGGCAATGTAACTCCAAATTTGGTTTTCATAAGGATTTGGAGGGGGGAAAAAGGCTGGAAGGAAAAACATAAGAATGTAATATATATGTAGAGACGTGTACATACAAATGCATTTATATTAGCACTGATCATGTGATTGATATTTTACTTTTACTACTTCTGTGGTTTTAATTTTTAAAAGATGAGCACAAACTGATCTTAACCCCAAAAATAAATGTTAGAAGGAACTCCTTTGAAGTATATTTTATAGACATTTTTGAAAATATAGTGGAGGCTGGGCGTGGTGCCTCATGCCCTTAATGCCAGCGCTTGAGGCAGAGGAAGGCAGATCTCTGTGAGTTCAAGGCCAGCCTGTTCAACAAAGTGAGTTCCAGACAGCCAGAGCTACACAGAAAAACCCTGTCTCAAAAAGCCCAAAACAAAACAAAACAAAAAACAAAAAACCCATACAAACAACAACAACAACAACAAAAACCCATAATAGAACTCATTATTTATATGAGTCACATATTCCAATTATAATTTACAAAACATGACAACTGGACAGAGATATATTTTGTTGCCTAGTGAAAAGCAGAACTAAATTGTTTCAAGAGTTTGAACTAAGCAAACAGTTTTGAAATGAAAAAGAGGAGGAATTCTTAAGACACTTCTTTTCTGCCAGCCACAGGACCAAGAGTTACAGGGAGAAACTATGTGCCATGGTGGTACCCAGAACAGACTAACTCCTGAGTGGGGGCTGAGTGAGCTCCGTCAGTGAGAAAGGCCCTGAATCCTGCAGGAGGAGCCACCCGTGGCTTGGCTCAGTTTCTCTCACTTGATCTGCAGGACACGCATCTGCTTGTCGCAGACACTTCAGCCTGTGGCCTCGCTTTTGAGTTTTAGGTCGCACACGGAGACAACGTGCATTCAAAGTGCAGAACCCAGAGACCAGTCTTCCCACTGGCTGCTCTCTCAAAGAGGCCTCCCCAAGGAGGGCTGCAAACTGCATGGAATCACAGAAGCAATGAGTCCAGGGCATCTTGGGCACAGAGGAGGAAGATGAAAAAGGAAGGGGACTCAGAAGCAGAAGGGGTTGGGAGTGTTGAGCAACCCGGAAAGTCCTCTCCTTCACAACTGCATGGGAAGAGTGGAGGTCAAGGGGATGCCGGGAAAGAAACAACCCATGTGGATATAATTATTCCACAAAAGCACGCCCTCCTCAACCTCATCTTCCTTCTGGCCCAAGAGCTCCTGGCTCCGACAGCCTGTTACCTCATTGTTGGTGCCGACATCTAGCAGGACAGGAAGGCACTGCTGTGGATTCACTCCTCCGCATGCTGTGTACAGGGCCAGCTTGCCCACAGGGATGCCCATGCCGTAGCAGCCCAGGTCTCCCAGGCCCAGTATGCGCTCTCCATCAGTCACCACCACGGCCTGGAAAACACCGCAGGGCGCCTTCAGTCAGGAGTACCACCTCCATGACAAAGTGCTCATTTCAAAGGCCTAGCAGCTAGCCCGATGTCGGCACACCCGCTGACTTTGCTGGGAATAAAGCAGCTTGTCTGGGACAAGGCCAGAGAGAGTCATCAACCGCAGGTGGCTGGTCCTTTCTGGCAAGTGGGCCAGAAACCTGAAGCCAAATGACAGACAGCGTTCCTTGCCTTCCGAAGACTGGGATGGGAACTGCATAAACAGCTGGGAAGACATCCCCGCTAGTCTCTCTCTCTCTTTCTTTCTCCCTCTTTCTGAGAAACTGGACAGTCTCAGCCTGCAAACTGGGGCATGAGACAAAAAGCAAGAAATCTAAGGAAAGAAGAAAATGAAAGGCAAGCAACTCCATGCTGCTGCCACAGCTGCAGGATTTTGAGGCCAATTTGCAGAGAACAGAGCTTGCAATGTTTCCCAGAATCACGATTTCTTATGGAGTCGGGTTGTATGCACATAACTTTTTGTCAACAAATCACCAAGGGTCAGTTATGGACTAGACATAGATCTGGTACAAATCTTACCTTTATCACTTGACAGATTCTGATGGAACTCATGGTGATGGCGATATGACTATATGATCATGACGGATGTTCATTTATTCATTCACTTAATAAATATTTATGAAGCACCTCTTTGCTAGTAAGACATATCCTGGTGAAAGGAACTTTAGGTTGCTTACCTATGAAATTAAATGTGTGTGGACCCAAATGAGAGAGGAGGCATGTTTATTAACATGCCTTATAGCTTCCGAACAGAAGCCTGAATGCAACAGGACAATGCAGGGACAGTAGAGATTGAGATATTCTTGTAGGGTGACCCGCTCTTGTGGATTATGTGGGGGATACACATACCAGTCACTGGACAGGAAACAGTTGTCAGGGGTCAGGAAGAATGGAGCACCTTTCATAGGAAGGAAATTTCAGACGTGTGTAGAATGTGTGTGCGAACCAAGCAGGTGTAGATAATAGGAAAGGCAGAAGGCGAAGTGAGGGAGAAATCAGCGAAGGGTCCTCAGCGTCAGGCCAAGGGTCATGCCTTGGGGTGACAGTGAAGTTGTTTCTATGTCACTGCAGCAAGCCCCCGTTGTCTCTACAAGAGTTAAGTCTATAGGCATCTCATCCATCTATTGAAACCTGGCTTTTGACCAGGATTGAAGACTAGCCCTGAGCTATAGATGTGACCCCGTAGTGCCAATGGGCATATAAAGGTTTAGTTTGTCTATGCAGGGACAATGCTAGGATAAAGAGACGAAGATTCATGCTCGCCTTGGAAGAGCTTGTGATTCAATGCGCAAAGTTGTCTTCCCATTTCTTTACCTCTCCAAGGGTGAAACACACATGGGCTTCTTTTGTCTTTTTGTAGAAAAAGGTGCAAAGATTATAAAAACACTCCTCAACCTCAGGAAGTGAGTTTTGGAGAGTGCAAGAGACCTATGAAAATCATGCTATTTCTCCTCTCAGATTGCTCTGTAGCTTTTGTGTTGAGTGATCAGAACCACTGTCTCACACTGCCTCCTTCTCTCATGGTCTGGGTGCAGGAATGTCCTAGACTGTTAATTCCACACACAGTGAGCAAGAGGAAGCTTGAAACCTTCCTGGTCTACATATACTTGTCATGTATCAGCCAAGTTCCAGTAACTGGGTTGATGGTTCCATGTTACTTATCTTGGAAGTCTAGATGCCTTGTCAAAGTAACCTTGGCAAGTGTGGGACTCTTCCTCGTCAGGCCTTGGGTTTTTGGTTTAGAGGTGTTTCTACTGCTCTCTCTCTCACTGGGATAAAGCAGCTGTGCTCTTGTCAAGTCCCACCTCACCTTAGCACTCAGATACCTGCCTCTGACCTCCTCCTGGCAGCATTTCCACCTAGAGCCTGTCCTCATGATTCCTTTGGAGGCCCAAACTCTATGTTTCTCTACCATCTGACAAAATCAAAGCTTACTTATTCAGGTTCCCATTCTGTGGATTTTTTTTTTCTCTTTTTAGAGGGAAGCTGTTGTGTACTTATTTGCTTTGAATTAAAGCATTCCCTCTAGTGGAGAAGGATTAAGACTCAGGAACACAACACACAACACACAAGGCTCAGGGATTCCTGAAAGCTTACAGGAAGTTCCTGAAAGTTACAGGAACCACAAGAACCTTCCCCAAGATTATATAAACTGTGACAATCTCTGGTGAGAAAAGACTCCCTGAATGGCCAAACTGCCTGCAAGTTGAGCAGGGAGCTCCAGGGATGCAGTTTTCATGAGTTATCACCTACTGGGCTGGATTTACAGTGATGCAGAGCCTGAGAGTCACCTATGCTCCTGTAAGTAGCCCATGAAACATACTTCCCAATAAACTCACTGGTGCACTAAGCTATACTTAGGCTGGATCATTTCTTTGATCTATTGTTAGTGCCCTATCTGGGGTGAATGTTTGTTCATGTCTCCTTAGAAAAGTCATACAACAGTAACAACAACAACAAAAAATCACAAGGTTAAACACAAGCAGCCAACTACTCTAATGCATTATCCCCACAATCCTAAAATAATGAAGTGGCCATTAGTGCCGTCTCCCAGCCTGGGATTGTTACAGGGAATTGCACTGCATGTTCGACTCTTCCAATTGAATGCCTCATTGTCTATCGTCAATTTTCAGTCCTACTGTGCAAATGGTTAACTTGGTAAAACCACTTCTCAGACTGCTTGGCCCCTCTTCCTTCTTCTAGTCCCTCCTGCTAACCACTGTCATGTTCATTGTCTCTAAAGCTCATTTTTAATCATGTAATTTCTAGGATCAAAGGCTGTGCTGGCTAGCTTTACTTCAGCTTGACACAAGTTAGAGTCATTTAGGAAGAGGGGACTCTCAATTGAGAAAATACCACCACAAGATTTGCCTGCAGGCAAGTCAGTAGTACATGCTCTTGATTGCTGATTGGTGTAGGACAGTCCAGCCCATTGTGAGCGGGGGCCATCCCTGGGGCTGGTGGTCTTAGGTGTTATAAGAAAGCAGGTTGAGCAAGTCATGAGGGAACAAGCCAGTGAGCAGCGATCCACATGCCCTCCATTTCAGTTCCTGTCTCCAGGTTCCTGCCTTGAGTTTCTGTCCTGTCTTCCTGTAGTAAACTACAAGCTGTATGATGAAATAAACACTTTCTTCCAGAAATTGCTTTTGGTCGTAGTGTTTTATCACAAACACAGAAACTCTAGCTAAGACAAAGACCTTCACTGGTTTCTAATTGCCCCTATGAAATTTTTATGTTGTTTACCATATCTTCTGAAAGTTATCATTGTTGTGTCTCTCTATTTAATTGCAGCATCCGGGTAGTGGACTCTTCACTCTGAAAAAGGCATCTTTCTCTCAGCCTTTATATTCATTTTTTTTTTAGAGGATCTTTCTTGCCCTTCTTCAGCTGGACGAATGGACTTTTTCTTTTCTTTTTTAAAAAAGATTATTTATTTATTTCTCCATTTATTTATTTATTTACTATACATACACAGTGTTCTGCCTGTAGGCCAGAAGAGGGCACCAGATCCCATTATAGATGGTTGTGAGCCACCATGTAGTTGCTGGGAATTGAACTCAGAATCGTTGGAAGAGCAGCCAGGGCTCTTAACCACTGAGCCATCCCTCCAGCCACAAGTTTTCTTTTCTATGAACTGTTAGCACTTGTTACATCTAATGCACATACCCTCTGCCACCTTATTAAGAACCTGTTGGGTAATTACCTCCCCCTGAGGGGGAGCAGCATTACCAGGCCACAGAGGAAGACAAGGCAGCCACTCCTGGTGAGACCTAATTGACTAGGATCAGAAGGAAGGAAAAGAAGTCCTCCCCTATCAGTGGACTTGGCGAGGGGCATGCACGCAGAGGGTGGAGACAGGGAGGTATTGGGATGGAAGGAGGGAGGGTACCACAGGGGGGATACAAAGTGAATAAAGTGTAACTAATAAAGAATAAAAAAAAAGAAAAAGAACTTGTTGGGTACCAAGACTTACCCAAAATGCTTCTGCTGGAAACTGCCATTTGTATGTCCAATTCTCTCAGATCTCATCACTTCCTATCCAAATGAATTCTTATATCCTTCTCTCCTTTTAAATATTTTACTTTGCTGCCTCCCTGTCAGGGGCTAGGAAGGGCTAAAGGCCCTTTGGGGTCCTATGCATGGAACACAGAACTCTGGGCTTTTGTTTCCCTTCAGGATCGTGCTTGGCAAGGCCAGCAATGGACTGGTGCCAGGGCCCTGGAGGCCCCTGAGGCCAGAGCGTAGAGCTGGACAATTTTGCTGTAAAGCTGTAGCCAAATGCTCCAGACACAGAGATGTGAAGTGCTGTGCTTGTGTGCCAACACGTATTTTGCAAAAGAGGAGCCAGAACTGCTCTGAATTCCCTATAACTCTGCTGTCTGATAATCTTCATTCATTTGTCTTCTCCTTCCTTGTTCGAGGGGTATGTAAGGAGCTGTGATTAATAAGTCTCCCAGCTTGAGTCTTCAGCCCTCACAGTCACCCTGACGCATCTTTTGATTCTTTCTCTTCTCATCAGTGGTCTTCCCCTCAGAGTCCTAGGATGAACCCAGGAAGAGCTGCTGTCCAGTTCACCTTCCCCCTTCTTTCCTCACATGTTCCAGGCACAAGGCCGCCCAACCTTCCTTGATTTTTCCTTGTCAACCGTGGGCTTTATCAGCAATGCCCATCGGGCTGTCAAGTTCTGCTGTTCTGGCCTGCTCCATCCTTCTGGCATTTGTTCTATGATCCTCACACTGTTTCTATTGCCTGTGACTAGCCAATCTGCTTGTCATAAACCACTCCTATGATTTTTTTGATTGTTCTCTTGAAGTCTCTCCATCCTGTTTTATTTTTACAGAGCACCTGGATGCATCAGTTCCTTGTCTTCCTAGAAAACAAAGATTAGGCATCTTCTCAGACTGACCTTTAAGATTTTAATGTACCTTTGGGCCACTCTGCCTT